CCAATCGCACATTAGATAGTTATCATCACACTGTCCAGGACCACATTACACCACGTAGCCTTCCTGACAATCCCCTCACCTCCTGGGTCGCCACTACACTCGTTTCCGCCCTCCTCACTACACACCACTTACGGCCCAACTCACCAAGCAGACCGCATGTATGTACCGCATAAGGCAGAAGACAAGCGCCATATGAGCGCAAATCGTACCACAGCTCCGATACCAAATTGCAACGGAGATGAGCAATAGCGAACTTCAGCAATCAAACAGCATCATATACACAAGACCAGATAGTCGTAACCTCGAACCAACAGCAGAATTGCATCACGAGTTTCACCAAATAAGAAGGCACCAAGAGCGCACAATTGACAATGCTGGTAAAGTCTCATTATCATCATCAATGAAGAACCAATGTTGATATCCCATCGGGCGCTCGGCGCCCAGACTACAAATGGCAGATCCTATCTAGCCTATACTACAATGCCAAATGATGACGACAACAGCTTTCCCGAAGTACGAGCATGCAGCGACCAATGTCGCACGCTTCCAGCACCAGGTAAGTCTCTCGCCTCACTCACAACCTCGTACCCCAACACACAGATGCCACTTGCACCCAAGGACCACCCTGCGCCACACCCAGCTTACAGCAGCGCAGCTCGGCTATGGCTGCCTGCTCCCTTCCCTGCTCGCCCGTGAGCACGTGAGCGCTGGCCAGCAAATAGCGCAGCAGCGCTTGCGCAGCATGCAGCCAGCACCCGAATCCCGAATGCGGAGGCAGGCCCTTTGCTATATCGAAGTGGCCTGCCTGCGTCCAGTCCCAGGAAGCTTCCAGTAGGCCCCGGTAGCCTGAGGCACGGCACGATTGAGAACAGGCCTTGGGCCTGAGGTGGTTGCATGCACCCAACTGCCTTTGGCATTTGTTTGGCCCAGTACCCGTATCCAGCCCAGGGCCTGCTTTCCATACATTCACACAGGCGGACCAGGGCCTGGGTTCTCTCAACCAACTGGCGCTGCGCAACTGCCTGAATTTCCCTAGTTGCGCGGTGGCCGAAATAGGGCCCCGAGGGCCTCGTCGAGCCTGCCTTCACTTAGGGCGGCTGACTGGCTTATAAAGGGAGGCCGAATGGGGCTCATAGAGGCAGTGGCCTCGCAGCGGTTCAAATTTGAGAAATGTTTTTGATGTGGCTTGAACCTGATACAATGATCACGACCAATTCACACCCAATTTGTCAACATGCAAACTCGCAACACATCCACACCAGGCTCGAACACCCAAGAACGACGTAGCAGTTTCAACTTGCATACAAGTGGCAGCTATGGCTCCCTCATGACTTGACACAGGTCAGCTCTTCTCTCTCTCTCTCTCTCTCTCTCTCTCTCTCTCTCTCTCTCTCTCTCTCTCTCTCTCTCTCTCTCTCTCTCTCTCTCTCTCATGGTGCCCTGTGCTGTTGACTACCCTAGTGTCTCCAGCGAAGTCGCACTTGAAGTAAGTCACACAAGCAGACAGCTGTGATTCTGCAACAATTTGATTGACACGTGTTTTCCTCTGGCACTGTAGTGGCCTTTTGGACCGGTAATGGTACCTGGCCTGTCGGCTGCGGTTTCTCACTAGGTTCCGGCAGCGGACTTCCCTTGGATGGTGCTGCTATTTCTGGGACTGAGACCTTTTTCGCGGACTGGACTCCTGCAGGTTACCAGAGACTTCTACCGACGCACTGGACCCTACACCGGCAATTCGACCTAGGGGCCCACCAGTTGGACTATGTTACATGGTACACGGGGCCCTACCGTTTAAACCACCGGTGCTTGGTCCAGCTATCGGCCGTGGCGCTTTCCCGTTAACGCGCCGCGCCTTTAGGGCTTCGGGGTACCGGACCACAATGGCTGGAAGCGCCAGCCAAAAAAATTTCAAAACGGTAGCCCAGCGCTTCGGCGAAAATTGGCGCGCAGGGGCATTCCAGGCTCGGCATCGATAGCTGGGCAAAGTACTGGTGGTTTAATGTTTCCATATTGGCGGGTGTGTTACACCCCTACTGGTATGACGACCTGCATCAAAGCTTCAGTTTTCAGACAAGCGAGCAGTTGCATCACACACAGACCGACAACTCTTACTTCTGTCTTCCCTCGAATACAACGTATGGTCATTATAACTGCATTTCGGGCAACTTCTGGTCTAGATACAGCCATAGTGACTGTACAATTTATTCAGGGAAAGACTGTAGGAGAACTAGCTGCTTTGCACATGCCAAAGAGAAACGGCACAGAAGTAAAGAGGCATCCACGTCATGTCCGTGCGAAGGCCTGATGGAGTATATCGTCACTGCTCAAAAGCGTATGTTGATCAAGAAAGCAGATGAGATGAATCCCCAAGGATGATGGCATCCAGTATCACAATCGTGATGAAGTGATTGAAGAGCCAGCACCTTCTGTCGAGGATGTCAGTGTGATTTTCATGCATGTAGGCTTGAATGTAATTGGTCATGAAAATGTTTTGTGCTCAATGATCTCTGTCTCGCTGCGAGTGCTTCTGCCTCCACTTGGTTCATATGCAGTATTGACACAAGGGTGGGAGACTGTCAAGAAGCATTTTGTGTGGGGAGCTGGCGGCACTATTGATGCTGCTTTTCTTCATGAAGTAGGACGTCCTCCTCGACTTGGTCGCCTTTCAGCTTCCTGATGGTTTGCCTACGGCCTATTTGCAAGGGTAAATCTGGCGAGAAACATGGTAATCATCATCATCAGCAGCAGCAGCATATTCATTTTCACCATCGTTGTCTGACATGAGTATTGAAGTTTCAAATTGGGAGGGATCCACTAACGGCAAAGTAGGACTGCACTAGTAAAGAGTCTCCCATCTTCTCTTCACTTCTCTGTACCTTTTTTTCATCTGACTTCTTTCTCTCCGCCTCCCTTCCATCCTGCTTCATCTCCTCTTCCTTCCCCCAACTCCTCCCCTCCGTTTTTCCCTTCACTCTGTCCACTCTTCGCCTCTGCTTTCGCTTTCTGGTAACGCCGCTCCCCTTTTTTGAGGATGAAATGGGGTTAAGATGGGAGGAAGTGGAGGAGGGATGGGTGTGGGAGGGATTGGGTGGGATTGGGATATGAAGAAGGAGGGGATGAAGGAGGGAGCGAGGGGATGAGGCAGTTGTATTGGCGGTTTTCTGGAGAGAAGGGGGATTGGGGGAGTGTGGGTCTCACGTCACTCTCTATTTTTCTCTATTTAGATATCTTTCCAAAATTTAACTTCTTAAATTTCGAAATCTTTACGCTGGACCCGTTTTCCAGCAGGTGATGCTCCCCACCAATAGATGGAGCCTACCCCTAGGTGCTCGCGGTGTCTGCTCTTATCAGCACCAGTAGCACTGGAGGGGGTTTTTTTTTTCTAACTTTTTTTTTTTAAGGCTCCATCTATTGGTGGGGAGCTGCACCTGCTGGAAACCGGGTCCAACGTCCCTTACATCATGAAAAAAACAGATGAAAACCCTTTGCTGGAAACCGGGTCCAGCGTCCCATTCTTACTGGATTTTCAATCCAATAATAGGGCCTAGTCTATTCTACCAATGTTTGAAGGAAGAGTCCTACTAGTCATGAGGAAGCCTCTTCAGTCCGATATCTGACCGCCTGTTGGGAAGAATAAAACCTAGCCTCCTCCTAATAGGACCCTCTCCAGCCTGCTCCTATGCTATGTCCTCCCCTCCTCCAAACCACTCAAGATCCACCAACGCTAACGGAGCTGGTGGGAAGGGATCAGCAAACAGTTCGGGTGCTCTCAAAAAGGTCCCTGGTTGGATGTCTAACCAATTCTGAAAGTTAATCTGGTAATCCCGTTTGATCCTCCCCTTCTCCTCTTCCTCCCCTGGCCATATTATATCCCACATAGTCTTTATATTGATCATTTCCTAAGTAATTCCTAGTTGATTCCTAATTACATTCCTAAAATTGTAATTATGTTCCTACTTTAAATTCATATTTATGTTATGTGCCTGATTGAAACGATATCCAACATGGCATCCATACGTTCCCATACACGTGCAATGACAAGTGACCTTTCGAGGGAGCAATCCACATCACACTGGATGATAAGAATACACAGAGGAAGCACACAAACACCGAAAATAGAATTAAAATGAAAATCAATTCTAATTACCCTCTCTCCCCAAGTCAGTCAACAGCACAAATTTCCAAGGATCCCAACCACGTTATCAACACCCACGGACCTATTATTTACAAGATTTCATCGAAGTATCCGGGAGTGTTCGTCTTCCTCCCTCTTCCTCAAGCTCTAGCTATGGTGCTTGCCAGCACCCAACCTATCAAGCCTGCCAATCGCCACACACCCTCCTAAATCCAACACCCCTCTCTGCACCACTCAAGAAGCCCACTGCAGATGAACTTTCCACTCAGCAGGGGAGCGCAGCTCCCAGGATGATGAAGAAAAACAACAACTCGATGAAGATGAAGATCTGCCATGTCGAAGAAGAACCGCTGAAAGTGCAGCTTCGGTGGCAGCTGACCAAACCCCAACAACAAATATGAGGAAGCGCTCATCAGCACTTGGGCGCCTAGCCCAGCGCTGTCACCAATGGAGCTGGCCGGCCCCAGCTATAGCCCCCAGCAGCATGTGGAGAAGATGCCCTGCATACATGCCCACAATAACGCAGCAGAGAAGCAACGTGACCTCCACCAAGACCCTGAAACAAAAGCAACGAAAAGAACCGAAAGAAAACTCTTCGGCCTCTGCCTACTTCTACCCGACTTTCCTAGACCTACAACACAGCAGCCACCTACCCCCGGTGCTCCTCCCCTACGAGGGGGAGGTGTCGGAGGAGGAGGTTGTGGATGACGCGCCTCGGGCAGCGAGCGACGAGGCCGTTGACTGAGATGAGGAGTGGACCGACCCCGAGGAGATTGCATGTCGTGCAGATAAGAGCCTAGAGAGACTCTACTACGCACAGGGTGGAGATGTCACTGGGGCACAGCCTCGGACTGCGCTGATCAGAGCAGACGATGACCCTCCATGGGAGGCAAGCGGGACTCGGGCAGGCACAGACCATGGCACGGGACGTGGCGCGGGCACAAGCCGCACCGACCACCACACGGTCGAGGAGGGTGTTCGGTGTTGACAACGCTGACTCGGAGCAGGGCATTGAGGACGACGAGTCTTTATTGTGTGCATGTGATTTGTCGGCACCTCAGGTCGAGGGAGGATCTAAGCCTCTTAGACGGTCGAAGAGGCTGGTGAGCCGCGATAGTACAGCCGCCCAGACAGAGACTGCTTGCTCGCAGCACCTAGAGGACTTACAGGCTGATGCGCCGGAGGGTGAGGAGCCTGAGCAGCTCACTCCAATTCGGAAGGAGGCATCACAGCATTCACAGGATATTCCTTCAGGTTTGCGGACGAGGGATTTCATGGTAGGTGGGGAGGGTACGTCCGGTAGCGGCATTGGCAGACGCCAGCACGTTCGAGTGGAGGACATGGCCGACTACTATCCTGCAGACATGTAGAGGGAGGAGACTTAGGCAGAGCGTGACGCGTGCATTGACGTCGAGGAGGAGAGTCGTTTGGCTCGGATGCAGTGGGCAGGGAAAGTGGCTTATCTGGCGGAGGTGGAGCGTAGGAGACGGCTAGAGACCATCGGTGCAGGTGGCGATGCAGACAACGTGGAGGCTGTACTCGGAGAGGATGTTGCCTCGCAGCCTTTGGGTGGGGGATATGTTTCACCAGATCCACTGACGCCGCTGCCATACACGATCACCGACCGCCCTGCTGCGATGCACCATGCCACTCCCTCGCCTTCCCCGACCCTGACCGGACATGCTGTTGTTCCACCTGTATCTGCATCGCCTCCTGTACCATTCGGGTCGCCTGTGTCCCATGCTCCTCTTACCTCAGAGGCAGGAGGATCAGGCATGATGGACTCAGAGCGGATGTTGTGCGTGACGTTGTAGTCGGACTTATGGCACCCGGAGGTGCGGAGGTGGAGCAGGTATTCAGACATGAGGACGATGGTTGTGATGCCGGAGGTTTGGAACGATGCAGGCACCGAGGAGCCACAGATGGTGCCCCTTCACGTTTAGCCCGTTGAGGACGAGGTTCCTGTAGGAGACATGAGACGAGGCAAAGAGGAGGAGTCAGGAGGACACGGAGCACAGGGCGAGCCACGAGCGGATCTTCACACGGTAGGCTCGGTATCTGACAAGCAGGTGGTAGCAGCATACGAGGAGGAGAGGGCGGGTGTGGAGGATGTACTGGTGTCCGTGACGCATCTACCACAGCTTATACCCCTGCCAGCCCTATATATTCTGGATCCCTACTGGTCGTGACGGATGTACTGGTGTCCGTGACGCATCTACCACAGCTTATACCCATGCCAGCCCTATATATTCTGGATCCCCCGGGAGCTTGGAGCGTGAGGAGGCGAACTCGGCGAGGATTAGAGAGGAGCGATAGGCTGCTCACAGTCATATGCGTCCACCAGCACTAGCCATGCCCTGCGCGCAAAGAATCGCCCAACATCCGACACCGGGAAGTGTTGTTGGGAGAGGACACATGTCTACCTCGTTGGCACCTTCACGGCAAGATGTTCGACAGTCTGACCAGCGTCCTTGGTCGACCTTGCAAAGAGAGAATGGGAAGCTTAGGAAAGAGGTTGTTGCGGCTGAGGCACGATGCAGAGAGGAGAGACAGAGAGCAGAGAGAGAGGCAAAGAAGAGAGCTCTTGCAGAGAGAGAGGCAGAGGAGAGAGGACGGGCCGAGGGTGACAACGGGGGTCGAGCCGGTATCGGCACCGCGTGTCGTAGCTTGGAGTGAGACTTCCCGGGAGGATGCGAGATTTGCGCATACCAACCGCCCCAGAGCCGGGAGTGTAGAGCGGGGCGTACACCTCTGGCGAGGAGGCTTTGCCTATGCCCGCGGGGCAGAGACGTCATGACTCATTGATGGAGATAGAGGCTCATATAGCAGCCCACCAAGTAGAGATTGCAGCGTTGGAGGAGGCCTCATCATTGGCGAGGGTTAAGGAGGTTGCACGAGACGTCGATGCAGACACGAAGGAGGAGCCTATTGACGTGGTGAGGCGGGGAGAGAGAGAGAGGAGAGCGGCTTTTTCGACACGATCGGCCATACATGGTCCTCGATCAGTGGGCCGCGGTGGCGGGCGTGGTGCCGGCCAGTTATAGGGACATGAGCCTTGCTCTGTTCTATGTATGTTTTGAGTTAACTCGGTTTTTCTTAGGTTTGTTTGTAATCTTCATTATGTAATATGTAAAAAGATCAGCGCAACTTCTTTACATTGGAGACACTCAGAGTTGATTGGCAGTTAGTTGACATACAGACGACGATTTTTGTACAGTGTCACGATGCTTGGTTATTTTGTTTGTCATAGCACTCGTGTTGTTTGGTATTAGGCTTATTTCTATGTTACCAACTGTCCGATGGGGAGACGTCTCCCCCGGACGTCTCCGGGAGACGGTCAGGGGGGAGTTGTCCGGAAAATCGGACAACTGTTTTTTTGCGAAAAACAAAACAAAAAAAAATAAAAAATGAGGGGGTTCTGCGCACCACTAGGGGACCCCCCCAAAAAAAGTTCAGCCAGTTCTGAGCAAAAACAAAAAAAAAAAATCAGATACGGTGGGGGAGGTGTGATGGAGTGTGGATAGAATGTGTGTGTGTGTGTGTGTGTGTGGATGTCGTTGTCACTGCAGCTGCTTCATCTGCTCCAACGGATGGTTCACTGCATGTGCAGCAGGTGCTGACTACACACACACACACACACATTTTATCCACACACAAACACAACGAGTGACATGCACGTGAGCACACATACATACAGTTACACACACACACACACTATCTACTCGCACACGCACACAATGTCTGCACATACGCACGCACTATGTACACACATACAGATGCACTGTCTACACACACAAACACACACCGACACCCACGCACATACTCACACTCACACTTACACTGGGAAGGAAACAGTAGCAAGGGCAAGGAAAAAGTTGTTTATTTTATTTTTTTGTATAACATAGTTTTATGTTTTATTTTAAATTTTAAATTTTATAAAGAATCTCGTTTTATTTATTTTTTGAAGTTTTATAAAGAATTTTGATGTAACCCCAAGGCAAAAGTTGTTCAGTTTATTTTTGTGCATAATATATTTTGTTTTCGGAATTTTTTGAGTTTTTTTTTTTTTTTTTTTTTTTGG